TATCTATCTATCTATCTATCTATCTATCTATCTATCTATCTATCTATCTATCTATCTATCTATCTATCTATCTATCTATCTATCTATCTAGGCTTTTGATACACAGACATCCATTCACCTTAAGGAAACAAATGTGCCACCTAGAAATGGGAATTTAAAATAAATATTGAGGTGCGGATGTAGAGGACGTTCTCTGGTTTTGTCTTCAAGAGGAATGGCTGGATTGTGATTTGGTAGCCCACTCTCTAGAACGGAAAACCCTGGATGTTTTCCAGACTAAATGTGTTGGATCTCTTCACAATTAGAAATATACCAAGCCCATCTTCACGGACGATTCGTACCTGGAACTTTATCGCAAGCAAAAAAAGCACCTGAACACCCAGCAACTCACAGCTTTCCGGCTGCTCTTCGCCTGGAGGGACAAGATGGCGCGCCAAGAGGATGAGAGCACAGGGTGAGGAAAATGGCCGCTGGGCGCCTCTCTTGAGTTCTACCAAACCAGCAGTTTTGCTTTGACTTTATAGTTACATTAGAGAAAGATTCTTGGTGAGATCCATGAGGAGTTGGGGACCCCTCACTCCCCCAGCAGAGCAAATACAGGTAGTCCTCGACTTACAACAGTTCGTTTAGTGACCAAAATTACAATGGCATGTCGGTACCTTGAACCGCTTTGCTTCTTTCAAACCTCGCTATTCAACGTGCCAATGAACTAGCGGGAGGGAGTGTTGAGTATATGTCCGTGGGTTGTGAGAGCCTGGAAACCATCAAGGTCACAACTGCAGGTGCTTGAGAAAGAGGCGGACTGTTCCCATAACAAAAGGACGTCTCATAATTGGACAACGTGATCACCCAGGGGTGTGGAGAAAGGGAAGCTATTGTTTTAGGTAAGCCTTTGTGTTGGAAAACGAGAGCTGGTTTTGATTCTTCAGTACCAAAATGGCGTACCCAATAAAGTTTTACTTTTTGGAATTCGAAGCTCCCGAGGAGAGTGTGTTTACTTGTTTTGGGTGCGCTAGTTGGACAGTTGACATTAAACCAACTCTGGTTTTTCCACACAAATGCACTGAAAATGTGTCATGACTGTTTCAGTTACAACCATTACAGTCACGTGATCAAAATTGCGACGCTTGGCAGCCAGTTCATATTTATGACCATTGCTGTGTCCCCCTTTTGCTGAGTCAACCCTCTCAGGGTTGACTCAGCCTTCCATCCTTCCGAGGTGGGTAAAATGAGGACCCAGATTGTTGGGGGCAATATGCTGACTCTCTGTAAACCGCTTAGAGAGGCCTGAAAGGCCTATGAAGCGGTATATAAGTCTACTGCTATTGCTATTGCTATTTTCAGTCCCAATTCCTGGCTTGAGGAATGGCAGAGTGGTGGTGTGGCCCGCCAGCAGAACTGGAGGCAGGCTCGGACAGTGGGGAGGTTGGGGGGGAAGATGGGCCAGTCCTGGAGGCTGGGGAAGGCTCGGATGAGGGCTCTGTGTCGGAAGCAGAGAGGGGGCCAGAGCCGTATGCCAGTTATCAGCTGCCTTCAGAGTCAGACACCAGTGAGGCAGAAGAACAGCTGGAGCCTGTTCCCAGTGTGAGTTGCCAGACGAAGGGAACAGCTAAGGAACAAGGAGTCGACTTGGGAGTAAGGCCACAGGTGGATGATGAATGGCCCCTCCCAGGGGAAATTAAAGAGGAGCGAAAGGGGAGTGGAGTTTGCAGGAGACCATTAGTTTGCTTCATTATTTCGTGACTCTCCGAGACTCCTGGCCAAGTTCTGCAGATCT